CCTCCGTCATCGGGGGAACGCCCTTTGAAACCTCTGAAGGCACCGATCGCAGCGGCGGGGCCCCCCAGGGAGGCCAGACTGGCCATTCACCATTCCGCCGCTGCCATGGTCTCTGCGCTCCCTTTCTATCGCTCTGGAGATTGTAGTGGATTAGCCACTCCTGGCAGAAAGTGGAATGATGAGCCTCTCTGCCAGGTTGAAGACGTTAATCCGTCGTGAGCACATGAGCAATAGGAACGGAGAGCGGAGCCCGCAGCAGTGGTCGACTTGGCCCCAGGGGGCCGGACCCTCATTATCTGCACCTGTGGGGGGATATTCATATATTAATATGAATACCCCCATCTCTAGTTTAGACATGTGGCCTCGTCCCCACCACTTCTGTTACTTCCAGGGATCTAGAAGTTTGCACAAAGAACTCTGTGCAGAGAGATTTTCATAAAGAATTAGTTAGCTGGCTTAATAAAGACATCACCTTGGCTAGAATTTTAGAATATGTCTTATAAAGCAGCACACGTGCCCTGTATCTTCTCTCTGTGTATTGATTCTGACCAGCCATGCACCTATTTTATAGCTGTGCCCAGAGCATGTTGCTCTGCCCATGGCCAATACTGTTAAGTGTGGAGGTCCCCAACCCCCAGTCTGCAGCCCAGTACTGGTCCATAGCCTGAGCAAGACTGGGCCGCGGAGACAGACCTCCTGCCCCACCCCCCTGCAGGCACTCACCCCCACACAGCTGATTTACACATGTGCACGTGCCACACCATTTGCGCATACGCATGAACACACACACAAGCGCTACCATTTGTGCGTGTGCATGGGAGTGCGTGAACCCACACAAGATCCGCGCCACCATTTGCTCATGCGCGTGCACACTCTTTTTTTCTTTTTGTTAAAAGGGGCTGGATGATTATCAAGGCACGGGCGTGATTTTTTTCAAAGAAATCAAACAGAGGCCATGATGCTGAAAAGCTTGGGAACTGTAAAAGATTTAAAGGTCAAAACCAAAAAGCTTGGGAATTGCAAAAGATTTAAAGGTCAAAACTAACACTTCAGATTGGGCCTGAGAGTCAGTGAAGTTGCTACAAACTCAGTATAATATGCCCCATGTGGCTTGCAATAGCCAACATCTTAACTGCTGCATCTCAAACCCGTTACCACATCTGGACAGATTTGAAACACAATGCCATATTGAGGGCATTACCGTGATCTAGCAGTAATATTTACAGACTAGCAGCAATATTTATAGGCTGGCAACTTCTGTGGATTTTGCAAACTCTTTAAAAGGCTGTTTGGGGAGGATAAAACTGATGATTGCAAGGAAAGGCTGTAATTAGGCATAAATATGCAAACTGCTGACAAACGGAAGAACAAAATCCATGTGGTGTCTCTCAGGAAAATAGGAAAGATACAAGTACAGTTGGCTTCAGAGAACTCGTTTTATATATTTGCAGGAAGAAGGTGGGGGGAAAAGAAACACAAAAAAAGGCAGCTTATAAATGTGTTCGCGCTGAAGGTACCTTCTGTTGAACAGTTCTGCCCACAAGCTGTCTGTAGGATATAGAACATCTCTCGAGCATGCTTGCCACCTTGAAGCACAGCAGTCGGAAGCAGAAAAAAAAATGAAAACAAGAAAACAGAATGCAAAAGGGGAAAAAAGCGTGAAGAGAAAAGAGAGAGAGAAATGAGGGACAGCCAGTCTAAGTTACCGTCAAAATACATTTAGAAATGAGATTAGCAAACTATGGTCAGAGATTTTAAATGACAAGACAACATTAGGATTGCGAGTCAATCACATATTATGGAAGAGGAAGAAACAATCCAGCCATACAGCTTAGCTAAGGCATCATAACCAAAGCATGAAAAAGTAGTATAGTAGTACAGTAAGTTAGCCATTTTCCGTACAGCACCACAAAAGCAGTTTTAATGTTGGGGAGCTCATCCCTTGTTAGTGTTCTTCTTATCGAAAATTTACACACTACTGTCCTCCCCTCCATGAACAGGACTTTAGGACACCTTGCCGAAGCTTACCGACAATGTCAAACCACAGTGGGATGTTAGCAGGTTGCACAGAGACCACGCCAACGATTTCGGTCACTCGGTCACTTTCCATGACAGTAAAGTTGTAGAACGGTTCATCGAAAGTCAGTGGGACCGGCGATGGAGGGGGTTTCTTAATCCATTCAATGTGCAGGCGTGCGGTTGAAGACTTCTGTGGCCGGCCATTGTCTACTGCTTTTATCTGTTACATGTATTAAGAGAATACCAGTGACAGTTTAGCATGTAAGACATTTACTCATATTCTTTTCTTTAAATCATGTAGTTTACTTCTCTGGCTGAGTTTCTAGAAACTATGACTTAGTGATAGGGTGCCTGTAATAACAGCCATGATCAATACCCAATATCTTTAGCTAAAACAGTGCTTTCTCCCTTCAGATAGTTTATACAGTGGTGCCCTGCTTGATGACAATAATCCGTTCTGTTAAAATTGCTGTTAAGCGATATCGTCGTCAAGCGAAAGAAAAAACCCATTGAGATGCATTGAAAACCGTTTCAATGCGTTCCAATGGGCGAAATACCTCATCGTCCAGTGAAGATCCTCCATAGGGGAAGCCATTTTCTGTCGCTGTCTTCCAGAAATAGGTCCGGAAAGCAGTGGGTGGCCATTTTGAAACCCGACGATCAGCTGTTTTTGATCGTCGTAATGCGAAGAATCGTAAAACGGATTTTCTCCATTCAATCATTGTTTTGTGATCGCAATAGTGATCACAAAAATTCATTGTGAAGCGATTTTGTTGTGGAGTGGGGTAATCGTCAAGCGGGGCATCACTGTACTACAATTTCCACCCATACAGCTGAGATAAGGCATCCTAATCCGAATACAGGGTATTCAGAATACAGTGGTTTAGGTATCTGGCTGTGGCGCCAGAGGCTGGGAGCTTGATTCTCCACTGTCCGTCTTCACAAGGGCTGGATTTGATCATAGAATCATGGAAGGGGCCTAGAAGGCCAATTAAGTCCAACCCCGTGCTCAATGCAGGAATCTCACTTAAGTCCAACCCCCTGCTCAATGCAGGAATCCAAATCAAAGCAGAAAATTGGATGTCCAATTTTCTTGAACGAATCCAGCACTGGAATGCTCACCACCCTCTGAATTGGTTCCATTGTCATACTGCTCTAACTGGTATGAGTTTTTTCCTGTCAGATGACTGATGATTTCGTTCAACTTGTTACCGAAGAGTTTACCAAAATCTGTGAATATCGTCATAAATTCAACAGAAAGGAATTAATTTAATAGCAAAGCAAAGCAAAATTGGGCAGGGGCAGAAGTCAAATCGACACATTTGTCCGTATCAGGTTTTAGTCTTTCTGAGAAGACCAACCTTGAGGGACTGAACGAAAAGACAGTGGAAGATGATGGTGGAGTCCGTGGTACATGGATGTCCACAGATCTACGTTGTTCTTTGCATTAAGAACGTGCTGTCTCTCATTTAAGCCAGATCCCAAAGACATAAAGCTCACTTGTTTCACGGTGTGAGTTCTGAAAGGCACCTGTTTACAGAGCTGTTTATTCTCATTTGGAAATCACTGCTAAGGCTTATAAAGGAGGTGGGACGTGGTTGTGGGGGAAGCTATTGATCTGCATGGCTCATCACCAGACACCTGTGCCCACTCAATATTTTGCTCTTTGCCATTCATTTAGGTTCCTCCTCTATAGAACCACTTCCAACCCATGTAAAACCATTCCAACTTTTACATAAATGGACTCCAATTAACCGCCAGCAAAAAGATGAGCCTGCCAAGTACTCTTTATAGTCCTTAAAACCCAGATTGCCTGGGGGTTGGAGGAAGCCCTCGTGTACATTTGACAAGCCATCTACTTGCATTTTCAGTTCGAATGGGGACACCTGAACTCATCTCAGTTAAAAGAGAAGCTAAAAGCTTCTAATGTGATAGTTCTGGCCGGTAATCTCTTGCCAATGAAAGCCCATGTCACAATACATTCATTAGTCTTTAAAGTGGCACACATCTTTCTACTTAGTTCTTGTTTAGATTTGTCTGGTGGAGGACAGCCTCCAAAATCAAGTATTATTGATTCTAAATGCACTGTGTTAGAGATGAGCACTTACCATTGTTCGGTGCAAAGGATCAGTCCCACAGGTGCTGCGTGGACCCCCGGGATTCTGCATACCCTTGCTCCCACAGGCACCCACTCAGAGGTAGTGGGGCAGAGAGATCCAAGGCTCTGCTTCTGATGGGGCACCCGCAGGAAGGGGCGGGGCATAGAATCCAGGGCTCCCGTGCAACATGTGTGGGTCCAATCCTCTGCACCATGTCCATATATTATATTGGATATGTTGTCAGGATATAGGTACTTATTTCCATATGTGGTGGGAGTGTAAATCATTACCGAAATTTTGGAAGTCAGTACTTAAAGAAATCTGAACAATTACAAAAGTTACCCTAGCAGTCTCCCCAAAATTTGCATTATTATCTATTTTTGACAAAGAGCAGCGGGCGAAAAAGATATTCACGAATAATATGGTGACAGCTATATTAGTGATTGTGTGATTGTGAAAAATTGGAAATCTAATCATATGTTACAATTAAGTGAATGGTATACCAAGGTTTGCAAACTAATAATTAATGATAAGTTGTCATGTGATCTAAGACTAAAAAAAGGAATGATTAAAAGAGAATAATTTTGTTGATATAGGCAAGATTTTTTGGACTCTCTATTATTGAAAAGACAAGGTCGGTTTAAAGCGTATGGCCAAACAAGAGATATCACCTTTTTGGAAGGGGTATGGGGCATCATAATCATTGGTTTGGGGAGGAAATATATCTCTACCAGTCCTGGTGATGGGTGCACTAAATTAAGATGTGTTTGTTGAATTGATATACGTAGGTCATGTGGTTTTTTAAAATATTGTCTATTATTTATTACCTTGGTATAGTTCTATATAACTTGTATTGCTTCATCTTTCATTGTTTTCTTGTATAAAACAAGTTCTGAGGGCCACACACAGACTTTGAGGGGCACACTTGGTTCTGTGATCTCCACAACTTCTCTTACAACAGGACCCCCTACCATAAAGGGATTGGTTCCAAGCGCCCCGGGCCTCTGTGGATGTTTAAAAATACAAATTGTAGCAGACACTATTTTAATAGTGAACACTATATATAGCATGATCTCTGGCTCCCTCTACTGCACATGTCTGGTAAGTTCATCTTTAGAAATATATGTTTCTAGGTTTTTTCTTTTAATATTTTTAATATTTTCTGACCATGGACAAGTGAATCAGCAGATACTGTGTTTCTCCAAAAATAAGGCAGGGTCTTATATCAATGTTTGCTCCAAAAATGCACTAGGGCTTATTTTCAGGGGATGCTTTATTTTTTTTTCATGCACGACCATCTATATTCATTCAAATACTGTCATTTCTTCTTTTGGTTGCTACATAATGGTGGAGGGCGGAGTTTCACTTAACTAGGGCTTATTTTTGGGGTAGGGCTTATATTACAAGCACCCTGAAAAATCATACTATTTTCAGGTTAGGGCTTATTTTCGGGAAAACAGGGTACTGATCCCACGGATACGGGAGCCCTACTGTATAAAAAGGGGGCTCTTAACTGGCTGAAAATATGGCAACCTCCCCCTGAAGATTGTAGTGTCTCGGGATACTGGTATCGGAAGAGATGCTTCTAGAGACAACCTGCTCTTGAAATGTACATACATATACATACTAAAAAAGGAAATTTTGTGCCCTCTAGTAGCCAAAAAAAGTTGTTTTTGTTTTTGTTTTTTTAAAAAGATGGGGCTCTTTGCTGGCTGAAAATATGGCAACCTCCCCCTGAAGATTGTAGTGTCTCGGGATACTGGTATCAGAAGAGATGCTTCTAGAGACAACCTGCTCTTGAAATGTACATATATATACATACTAACAACAACACTTTAAACCTAACAAGGTCAACTAGCGTTGAGGAAATCTGTTAAAATAGAACTGCAGCAAGCAAACTCAAAAGCATGAATGAGAAGTGCAGGTTTATGTTAATAACAAATGCTTACAGTCAAGATATCATAGCTCCCAGCGGTAAACTGTTTTCTAGAAGAGACCATCCCCGTCTTTGGATCAATAAAAAACTTCCCGTCCTCGTTTCCATCCACTATGCTGTAAGAAATCTCTGCGTTAGGGCCTTCGTCTTTGTCGAACGCAAATGCTCTGTAGATGGGCTCTCCTCTTTTCTTGCGGTCCCGTTCCGGCAATTTGATCTGGTAGACTTTTTCCGGGAACTGGGGCTTGTTGTCGTTTTCGTCCAGAACTTGAACCACCAGCCAGACAGTGGACTGCTTGGGAGAGGCGCCACCGTCCGTAACGGTCACCTGAGGGGGAGGTGGGGGAGAGGAATGAACAAAAAGAGAGAACTGTAGTCCTTTGCCAAAGTAGAGTTTCAAGGTTTCCAGAAGATGGAAACCGTGACAGTTAAAGTGGTATCAAATTCCTATAACTGGGTAGTGTAACTACAGTACAGAAAGAAAATGAGAGAGAAGGGAGATGTTATATTCATATGTTGTCACCAGGCTATGATTTGTTTCGCTAAACTGCAGTTTATCTGTATTGCTCCAAACCACTACTCCAGGCACAAACAGAAGCCTAGGATACTGGCCATTTATCAAATTCCTATAACTGGGTAGTGTAACTACAGTACAGAAAGAAAATGAGAGAGAAGGGAGATGTTATATTCACATGTTGTCACCAGGCTATGATTTGTTTCGCTAAACTGCAGTTTATCTATATTGCCCCAAACACAAACAGAAGCCTAGGATACTGGCCATTTAAAATTTACAAGGGGGAGCTTTCTCCCTGCCTTCTGAGCCCCTCCTTCCCCATCACACACATCCATTATAATGCCTATTGAGGTTTTCCTTTCCAGGCAAGCTTTTCAGCAGTAAAATGCTGCTGAGAAAGGGATTTTAAGGGGAAAATTGCTCTTTAAATGTGCATTTTTAATTAGTTTTAGTGGGGTTTTATTCTGTGCCTTTTAGTAATTAACATGCTTAATTTTTTTAAAAGTGATTTTTATACTTCTAATTAGTTTAACAGTGTGATATACTAGATAGGGTGACAAACTAGGACTCTGGAGACTGAGGCCAAAATCCCCACTTGTCCATCGAAATTCTCTGGGGGAGTGGAAGTGGTAAAATCACTCTTTAAAATACCTCTTGCCTTGAAAGACCTATTAAAGCCACTATCAATTGGTTCTGATTTGATGGTACATATCTCTTTTAATATTTGTGGTTTTTAAACCATCAATATTGTGCCTGGAGACACTCTTGCAGGGAGAATGGCAGGGTAGAAACGAAACAAAATGAAAAATAAATAAAGTAAGCAGGTCTATCTACTGAAGCATTACAGAAGCAAAAGGTCTCCCATGGATTTGAGACTCCTGATAGAGATGTCTATGCCACCTGTCTTGGAGTTCGCGATGGCCTGTGGTGGATTTTGGAAAAATAAAATGCCCACAAAAATCAGCTTGGAAACTACTTTTTCAGACTACAGCTCCCTTTTTGTGATCCAAAAAGTAATACGTCCAAGCTGTGAGAGAAACTTGTATGCATGTGAGCATTGAAAATGTGTGTACTTGAAAAATATGCATGTTCTAGTAATTCAGATATTTCATACATTAGACAAAATGAATACAAAATGACATAAAGGAGGAGAAACACATACTTATTTTCATACAAAAGAATAACAACACCAGAGTCTCATGATCTGATATAATTGAAGGATGGGAAAACATCTCAGGCATGGCTGAGAGAAACACAATGGAATTGAGGTCCTGCCCCCAAATATCTTGAGTTAGCACATAGATGGAATTATGTTGGGAGGATCACCTGGGAATCCTTTTTATGGCACCCATTATACAAAATGAATACAAAATGACATAAAGGAGGAGAAACACATACTTATTTTCATACAAAAGAATAACAACACCAGAGTCTCATGATCTGATATAATTGAAGGATGGGAAAACATCTCAGGCATGGCTGAGAGAAACACAATGGAATTGAGGTCCTGCCCCCAAATATCTTGAGTTAGCACATAGATGGAATTATGTTGGGAGGATCACCTGGGAATCCTTTTTATGGCACCTTGCCTTCCCTGAAATATGTATGGAAGGTGAATAGATGGTCTCTGAGGGAACACAATATCCCTAACTGGATTTTATAATTTGTTATTCAGTTCTCCAGAATTTGGATTTTGCTGTCTTTTGACCAAAGATGTACTTTAAATGGAAAGGAATAACTAGTAACGAGGCCCACACGTTCGTATTTTACTCTTTGTATCATGATTCAGAGCCACCAATTTGTAATTTAAAAAAGAAAAAGGTAAATAAACCAACCAGCAGTTAGCCAAGAAAGCAATCAATATAAAATGAGAGGTCAGTGAAATTAGACTAAGCAAAATGCAGAATTCTTGGCTGGAAACCATCACATGTTGCCACTGAGAGAATTAGAATGTCAGCAGGTTTTGGCTAAAGCAAAACTCAAGCTACTTTCATGTAAGAACTCATTTCCGACACTTGTTAATGTGAACAAAAGTTATAGCTGAAATGAGAAGGAATAGAATATCAAAACATGTATGGATTTCATTTGTTTTTCAAAAGATTCACAGATTTTTTATCTCCTGGAAGCTGTTCGATTCTGGATTATTTATATATTTTATTTCTATAATGATCTTGCTGTAAAATTCTAATCAATCTCATTTTGGACTTTAAGACCATTTGTTAACTCTGTCTTCTATCTTTCAGCCTTATCTATATTGTTCGTTCATGGAATTAGAGTCAACACTAACATATATTCCTTGTTACCAAACTAAAAACACCATATTTTCTGTCGTCCTGCAATTAATAAGTGATCAGATTACAAGGAAAAAGACACGAACTCACAGAACCGAAGTAGAAATGTGTTAAAACTTCTTGATCCATTGGCTACTTGACATGTTTTATTGTATATGCACCAATGTCTACATACACAGTAAGTGATCACATGCGCGCGCGCGCGCACGCACACACACACACACACGCACGCACGCGCGCGCGCACACACACACACACACACACACACACACACACACACACACACACACACACACACACCTCTGTAGTGGCCTAAATCTCACAGGAAAGCAGACTTTTGTCTGGACAAGAGATGAGCCAGAGTTTTCTTACAGGTTTTTCCCCACAAGGATTCATTTACCTTTGTCACATTTCTTCATGTTCAAAATGGCAAGAATTTGAGATCTAAAAATTTGAGTGGGAAAAAGCAAGACTACAATTTCTCCAGTTGAGGCAGGGAGCTGTGAGTGCTAAACTATTAAAATACAGATTTGAATCCTTACGTGTCCAGCCATTTTACTGCTATATTGGGGTTGCCTTCTCATTTGCTTCCTAAGAAGGCCGTCAGTTTTAATATTTAAATACAGTAGTGCCTCGCTTAACGATTGCCCTGACAAATCTGCTTTACGACAATCATTTTGCTATCACAATTGCGATCGCAAAGCAATGGTCCAAATGGGAGAATTTCGCTTAGTGATGATTGGTTCCCTGCTTCGGGAACCGATTTTCACTTTACGACGATCAAAACAGCTGATCGTCGGGTTTTCAAAATGGCCACCGGCTGAAGAAAATGCCCCCCGCTGTGTTTAGGGATGGATTCCTCGCTATACAGGCAGCGAAAATGGCTGCTGTATGGAGGATCTTTGCTGGACGGTGAGTTTTTACCCCATTGGAATGCATTGAATGGGTTTAAATGCATTTCAATGGGGTTTTTAATTTCGTTTTACTATGTTTTTGCTTAATGGCAATTTTCCTGGAACGGATTATCGTCGTTAAGTGAGGCACCACTGTAGCTAATTCAACATTGCCCCTTTCAGGCTAGGAACAGCTGTACTTACTGAATTTGGCCAGTCTAAATGGGCTATGATTTTGTTGCATTTGTTGTTGTTGTTTAAAACTAAACACAGAAAGGTCTTCATATTTGGGAGAGAAGGAATTTATGGTGCTAAACATTCCAGCGCAGAAGGAAACAGAACTGACAAATTTCCCATCCCTAATCTCAGCTCCATCATTTCAGATTGCAAGTGATGGTTGTCATAATCTCAATCATTCTCTCTACAACCAAGTGCTCTCTACGCACAACATGAGATGCTGGGGGGCGGGGGAGGAAATATTACAGTCAATCCAGGAACATAAGGTTCTGGTTTTTTATTGCATCAATTTCTCTTCGTGTAGCAGTACACACACATATTGTAACATTTTCCAATTAATCAGCAAACCAAGAAATGTTAAGCATTTTGATATACATGAGGAATTTTAACATGTTTCTTTGCAAAAACTTGGAATCTAACATCTCATTAATTGTAAAATAATGCTGTGCTTAGCTGAAGGCAACAGTGGGTGGCTAGGAGAGAAGACAGAATGAGAGAGAGAGAGAGAGAGAGAGAGAGAGAGAGAACAGAAACCCACAAATAGAGGAACTCTTCTGACACACACAGCAGTAAAAGGTATGTCTTCCGAGCTCAAATATTTTTAAGGAACTAGTTACCAATAACTAGTTAACTGTTGTTAATTTCTTTTCCTAATATTGAAGGTATAGTTTAAATATGTTTGTAATATTGTAAGAGAAGAATTTTAGTTTCCTCTATTCAGTCTCAAAGAACATAAATTCTTTGCAAGCCTGCGTTTTCATGTTGTTATTCCTATCAATGCAACCACAAAATTATGGTATTCGGTATCACAGCCACTGCTTAAATTTAGGACGGCATTCACAAGAAGTTATTTCTGAGAGCTTTCAGCACTTCCTACTGGCTTTATATCCTTCATAAAATACAATGCAGAAATACAAGAAATACAAGAAATATAAGAAATACACACATACATACATACATACGTACGTACGTACGTACGTGCGTGCGTGCGTGCGTGCGTGCGTGCGTGCGTGCGTGCATGCAAGAGGGGGCTAGTAACATGGTGCATGAGGTTTATTCTCTAAACCAGAGAATATTAGAAGGTAGGGATTTTTTGTTGTTGCTGCTGCTGATTTTATAGAGAAGCAAGAAATTTCTTGCCACTCTCAACTCTTTTCAAATTCTCCTTATTAATCAAGTGAATGCTGAGGTGGCAGTAGCATCTGAAGACGCTTGAAGTTCAAGATTTTGAAAGATGCAGCGTTGCAAAATTGTAAAAAAAGGATAAAAATAAAGAGTTATTTCACACTTGCAGTCAGAATTAGTTTGTAAGAAAAAAAATATCTGTAGCAACGACTGAAATTGTTCAATTTCTTTAAGGCGTAAAAACAAAAAAGGTACCCACAAAGTAAAG